GCCTCACCAGTGCCGTGTATAGGGGCACGATTACTTCCCTACTCCTGCTGGCCACGTTATTTCTGATACAGGCCAGGATGCCATTGGCCTTCTTGGCCACCAAGAGGAGCAGATGTACAGAACAAAACAGAGCTGGCAACCCAACCTCCAAATGTATTTGGTGCTTTACTTTGATCTATCTTATCTCTGATTCTGTGGACTGAACATCATTAGCATATAGAGAGCATTCAATTTGCTCAAGGAGTTGCCCTCCCACTTCAGCCTCACCTGAAAGGAATTGATCTGCATGATCCAAGACCACTCTGTGATACAAATCAAAGCACAGTAAATGGGGAGGACTGGGAGACGTGCTTCAAGAAGGGGTGTGCATACTCCTTATCTAAACTAAAAAGCAGATGCTCACTCTGTGCCAGTGCACTGCAATTCATACACTAGAGAAAATAAGGGGAAAAACTTTAAAAATTTAAACTACTTCAAATTATAGAGCTTCTTTCAGTAAGGCTTCTCAAAGCCAAAATATATGTGGCCAAGTAAAGTAGATGACGAGTTTAACAGTCGAGTGACAAGACAAGAAATAATATTTTTAAAGCTATCCATCTTGATGTAAGAATAGATAAAAATAAAACTAAGAGTTCTGTTATATAATACATATTTTTCTTGTCCTTATCAAAGTTATTAGTCTAATCCAATAGGGAAAGTCATAAAGATATTATGTGATTTGAGACAGTGAATTTTACAACTAAATAAATATGTGGTAGCAAAACATTAAAGTACATTGCTCAGTAGGACTGACATTCTATTTGGAATATCAACCTCTGTAACTATTTAAAACTACGATGCCAACTATAAACAAATTCTACAGTTTGTGTTATGCCAGATGCAGAATCTTGTATCTGAAAACAACTGCCTGCAAGCCCTATCAGGTCCAGGTTTACATCCAGCCACCACTCACAGGTTTGCAGAATTCTTTGGATATGCCCCCTGACCAGTATGTTTCCAGCATCACTTGCATAATGGGAATTTACTCTAAAACCAGTTTTGCACAAACGTTAACATTCAGGGATTAACAAGTGGTTAGTACACTGGTGTTATGTATAAGCATCAAATTGACTTATCCTGTCTCCTGTTACTCCTTTCAGTGTTGATGCCCTCTGGAGAAGAAGAAACAATCTTCCTACCCTCTCTAGCTTTGGTGCCTTCACAGTTGGAAGGCATAAATTTAATCCTGGATTTAGAATGTGTTTCAAAGACAATGATGTAGGCAAAATCCTATACATTGATGAAAAGCATAAATAAAATGGAAGACAACTTCATACATTACCCATGTATTTTTGTTATTGATGTAGCAATCTGTTATGCTGAAAAACTTCTGGGTTTGCAACATGGGTCAGTTAGCGTGAACTGTGAGCCCAGGCTTTGAGATTTGACGTGGACACAGAGTTTTATGTTAGCAAATTCCATTTCAGAACTAGGGTCAAAATGTGCCCCTTAAAGTCTACAGTTCAAAGACAGCTAGCAAGAATGAATGTGAAAACAATTAAAGAGCCAAATCTTTATTTCTGCATTCCCTACTCCATTTCTGGAAACTTGGAATTTATTCAGAGAGCCCTAAGGTCTTCAAAGACAAAAATGAAGAGCCTAATTAGACATGAAGTAAAACAGCTAACTAGAACTACATGGAGCACAGGAGAAGATTAGCTATTTCTATTTTAAAAAGTTGCATTTCACATTCTCCAGATATTTTTGTCCTTTTAGACTAAGTTTTCTCTGGTCAACAAATGTTTAGATAAACATTTTTGTACAGAGCCCAGGAAAATGGAAATCTAAACCAAATTAGAGTATTTGGCCAACATCCTTAATACTATTGTCGGATAGTCAGAAACCTCAAACTGCCCACTTGTAAAATGGTTAGAAATTAAAATATTATGTGTATTCAGTTAAGGAAAAGTCAACCCATGTCACTTGTAACTTGAGGCTACTTAAGATGAAGAGAAGATCTGATATTAGAAATGTTAACTTTCTACATTTTCTAATCACAATGAATTATGGTAAGGATAATCACAGTTCAAAACCAGGATACTGTGGGTACCTACAGTAGACTGTAGACTGTCAGGTCCTACACAGGTCTTGACAAAGGTTCTATTAAAGAAGTTGGAGTAATCAGTTAGAGGATCACTTTCAACCCATGACTTACAGTATGTTCAAATCTCATACTAACACACACAAAAGCAGTTCAAATAAAAACAAGTGGCTACTTCAGCCACACAGAAGCTATACCAAGCTGTTCTCGTATAAAATAGGTCATATACTTCGTAAGCAGAGAAAAAAGCAGACAGAATTTGCATCTCTTTGTTTACAATTACATATTTTGGTTTTCTGATTCTATGCCCTGTCGGAATAGGGGTTTGATTTTGCTATTAATCAATGCAGCCCACATATTCCTCTCTGTCAAACACTTCAGATATTGTGAAATATAAAAGGCAGTTTAAGATTAATGTCTCTCAACTATATTCCAATTCTGCCTCTTTTAGCTTTAAAATCAATCATATTTGTTAACCACAGGGCGCAAGCATTGCACTTGATAAGTTAAACTCCAAGATATTTGAAGATGCAGTTGCTGGTCAGTGAAAGTTACATAACTTATTTCCAGAATGCATTATTTCAAGCTAACACTTTGTATCCACACTGCTGAATTTTTATGCAGCTTTTTGAATTCCAGTGGACATCACTCATAGAATACAATCTGCAAAAATATGTGGCTTCGTGATACTCTTAAAACTGTTCCAGTTGCACATCAGTCCATCTGTCAGGATGTGATTAGTTTAAGAATATGAATGGACTATTCAGTGCCATGTTCAATTTTCTTTTTCAAAAGGAAACACAAAAGTATATCCAGTCTCAACATTTCAAAGAGAAGCCTCCTAAAAATGCCCCAAAACTGTATTTTGTCCTAACAGTACAGTTGTAGCAAGAGTCCAACACTTGACTCAGTTTTCCTGAGGGGACAACAACAAGAACAATGAGAGTTCTCTACAGATATACAATGCAAATTATGCAAAATTCCAACACAGGAGCCACACTAAAAAGTATTGATTGTCACTGTGCCCACCAGGGCCCACATGCCAACTGGAGCAGGATGCAGTCCAGCTATTCAGCTTCCTATGACGAGCAGCCATGTGCCAAGAATTTGGAGTAAGGGCAAAATCATGCTCTATGACTTTCTTTTCTTGTATCAGCAGTAATTCCAAACAATAGCCTTAATGCAAAAGAGAAGACAAAAGGTCTTGTCACTGTACCTCTTTTTATACTATTCAAAATCAACCTTAATTAGTAATCTCGACTAAATATATTTATTTCATATACGTCATGAGCTGAGATCAATATTAGATGCCTTTTGTTTCACAGACAAAGGAAAAAGCCTTTCTTTTGTATTGCAAACCACATTTTGAAATGCAAATTACCAGAAACTTGAAAAATATATTTTATCGTGGAAATGTCAAGAACACATTAGCTATTGCCAAACCTCCAGCAATCTACCAATAAAATCTCTAACCTTTATACGATTAGGAGCCAGTATTTCAAAACTAGCCACAACAGTAAATTCCTCTTGTTCTGAATTTGAAGTTGACCAGAAACCCTGTGTCGTAGTCCTGATGAGTCACCTAGAAGGACCTAGAAGAAAGCTAAACAGCTTTCCTACCCAGCTGTTTGAAAGGATGTGTTTACAATGAACCCAATCCCCAGCCCAGTTTTAAAGGCCTATACTACAAGCTAGCAATCATCTATCTCATAGCAAACACCAAGAAAAACATGGTGCCAACAATGCAGGACTTACTGAATTAAAATTAGGTGCATACTCAAAAAGGTAGTAATACACTTTTACTCAGGACTCTTTGCTAAGTGTAATAATTTAAATACAGTTGACATTGAATGAGAAGAGAACCTGTCTGGGGAAGAAACACACACAATCAAAGTTACACCATGAATTATGAAAAGTTCTAATTACAGTTGAATGACTTTTCATTTTGTATTCAGCTGACTGATTCATAAGAAACCAGTAATGAAAGATTCAGCACCCTGTATCTGGGAGCTTAAGTAAATAAATGTGTAGTTGCTACATAGTTCCTAGTGGTCAGATAAGTACACACTACGTAAAGCTGTGCTACAGGGGATACCATTCTTCTCGTCTTCGATGGCATGTGACGATTCAGAGTCAAGCACTATGAAAACTTTTAGAAACAAGCTTTTAACAATTACTTTGATCAGTAAGATTTGGTTGGTCAGGGACTTTTCAGGCAAAATAAAGAACATACAGATCAGGAATCATATGTAAAACTGCTACATATAAATGAAGTATATGAAAGTATAATAGACCTCAGTTTTGCACATTAAGCTGAATCCTAGAAACATGCATAAAAAGACTACTCTGTGTACAATATGAGTAGCTCCTATAGTTTAGGAGGAAAATAAGCAAAAACATTACTTACACATTTGTCCTCTGATCCACTGGCTATAAACCGTCCACAAGGAGATACTGCAATTCCACATGGATAGCAGCGGCTACTGTGCCCTTCAAAACGACGTTCACACCTTCAGAGAAATTTCAGTCTTATTAACACCAACTAAAAACTAGCTCTTTTACTGCTATTTTCATGAAATCCTGCTGAAGTCTCATCCATTTTTCTTAGTCTACAAATTTACTAAGGCAAATCCACAAATTAAGTTTTAAATATCTCTGCAGCAGGATTTTGACAAAACTGAAAGACATTAAAGAATACTAACGACTAAAAATAGAATGAACACACAAAACTACCCCAGGACAATGCCCAAAACCATGCTTTGGCCTTGTTTAGTTTACAAAGATAGAAACATCATTAGTATTTAGAAATGAGGAGCTGTGATGCCTACCATTAAGCTACCCCTAGTTAGCCATCTCAGAAGGGAAAGCCAAACTCCCCTGCATTAAGGGGAGGGTGTTGTGAAAGCCAGTCTGCTCTGTGAAGCTCTAGAAACGTCTCTCAATTCATTTATATCAAATGAAGATCCAGTATGTGGAATCATAATATAAATAATTATTGTTTGCTTTTCTTATACCCAAATCTGGATATTTAATCTGTGTTGCTCTATTTACATTCCCACTCCATGCACTAATTTATTGTATCTTGTAAATTCAAGAAAGGCAATACCCAAATGGCATTCCAAACTCATAAATCTAGCTATCTACCCTACAATTGCAGAGAACTTCTTACCTATCTGTGTTAATACAGTCTAAAGGAAGGAATGCATTTAAATTTAATGCAAGGAATTAATTTCCTACTTTTCACATTAATATTGTTAGGTAGCATTGTGGAGTATGTTTTTGATAGCTGAGCACACTTGGCCCATTTAAAAATAATAATGTTTTTAATGACATGAAGATTAATATCCATCTAAAAAAAATCCATGGTTGTAAAGAACTGTGATAGCTTCATAGTCACTACAAAACTAAGGAAAAAAGTAGTATTTAGAGTTGCTTCAATGTTAAAAGACAATTTAATGTAAGTTTCAACCCCAGTCAGAATTATCATTTACATATGTATACCTCATTTCAGAGCTTTATTTTTATAGCCACGAGGTATCATTTCAAAACAGACTTATAATAATCTGTATTCTTGTTTTGCCTTTATAATGAATGCTATCAACCTGTCCTTCTCCTTACAAAACAAATTAATATACTTCACCATAATACAGCTGTCACACATTCTTTTTTTTTATGTATGCTAGGTCCAGGAACAAATTTGAAAGAGTAACATCTCCTGCCAACACCTGTGATATACACTTTTTCCTGGCCAGTGAAATCACAGACGCTGTGTTAATTCGATTGACTGGACCCATGTGCAGAAATCTCTAAATTTTTATACCACGTTGTTCTGTTTTAGACAGGCATGTATGAGTAAGAATGCACTGAATGCCAAGTTGATTTTGCTCACCCAGGTGAAACAGGCATACTTAAATAAAAACATTGCTTTGTGACTGTCATGGTTTAATCTCAGTCGGCAACTGAGCACCATGCAGCCGCTCGCTCACTCACCCCCGGTGGGATGGAGGAGAGAATCAGAAGGGTAAAAGTGAGAAAAACTCGTGGGTTGAGATAAAGACAGTTTAATAGGTAAAGCAAAAGCTGCGCACACAAGCAAAGCAAAACAAGGAATTCGTTCACTACTTCCCATGGGCAGGCAGGTGTTCAGCCATCTCCAGGAAAGCAGGGCTCCATCACGCGTAACGGTTACTTGGGAAGACAAACGCCATCACTCCAAACGTCCCCCCCTTCCTTCTTCTTCCCCCAGCTTTATATACTGAGCATGACATCACATGGTATGGAATATCCCTTTGGCCAGTTTGGGTCAGCTGTCCTGGCTGTGCCCCCTCCCAGCTTCTTGTGCACCTCCAGCCTTCTCAGTCGGTAGAGCATGGGAAGCTGAAAAGTCCTTGACTAGTGTAAACACTACCTAGCAACAACTAAAACATGGGTGTGTTATCAACATTGTTCTCACCCTAAATCCAAAACACAGCTCTGTACCAGCTACTAGGAAGGAAATTAACTCTATCCCTGCCGAAACCAGGACAGTGACTGATCAAATGGCTATCATTTAGTAAGGCATAAAAATACACTTTTGAATGCATGAAAATACATCTTTTTACAGAGCCTAACTCTGAACTTTCATAGAGAGTATATATTTGGCTGAATTTCTGTATAACAAAACTACTGATATCAATAGACATTTTGAGTATACAGTAACCAGACCTTTCACCTCAGGCTAGTTCTACCCTAAAACTGTTGTAAATAACCCAATTTAAGAGAACACTACAGTTCAAAGAGAAGTAACTTATAAAGACAGTCAATTGCTGTGACTAAGATGTAAAAATATTCTTCAACTTCAGTCTGAACATAGCTCTTGCATGAATATTCAGAGACTTTCAATGCCAATGGCCACATTTGGGCCATTGAATAACCTGCCTCTATCAAGCTCCCTATTGACAGTAAAGGATAATACTAGCTACCTCAGTCTCCGCTCAAATGCAGCATTCTAATATATATAACTCCAAAGGTTAGGCAATGGAGGACAAGTCACAGAATACATATTTTATTTATACTTTCAAAGAACTTTACTTTTTGGAAGGTAACTTAAAAGAAAACTTAAAGCGTAGCACATTCTTCCCATACCACAGCTTTCACAGAATCATATGATTGAGGTTGGAAGGCACCTCTGGAGGTCATCTTGTCCAACTTCCCTGCTCACCTAGAAGTCAGTTGCCAAGGACTGTCTGGATGGCTTTTGAGTATCTCCAAGGTGTGAAACTCCACAATCTCACTGGGCAACCTGTGCCAGTGCTCAGTCACTGGAAATGGTTTCCAGATTTAGTTGTTCCATCACCTTCCCAGGGATCAAGGAGAGGCTGACCAGTCTGTAGTTCCCTGGGATTTCCTTCTTGCCCTTTTTGAAGATAGGAGTGACATTTTCTTTCTTTCAGTCCTCAGACACCTCTCCTGATCACCATGATCTTTCGAAGATAATTGAGAGCAGCCTCGCAATGACATCAGCCATCAATGAGCTGAAGGCAGGCTTTAAAGAAGACAGAGCTAGGCTCTTTTCCATGGTGCTCAGTGACAGGACAAGAGGCAATGGGCAAAAACTGAAATACAGGAGGCTCTGTCTGAACATCAGGAAACACTTTTTTACTGTGAGGGTGACTGAGCACTGGCACAGGTTGCCCAGAGATGTTGTAGAATCTCCCTTCTTGAAGATATTCAAAAGCTATCTAGACATGGTCCTGGACAACCAGCTGTAGGTGACCCTGCTTGAGCAAGGGAGTTGGACAAAGTGACCTCCAAAGGTACCTTCCAACTGCAATCATTATGTGATTCTGTGGTTAAGCAGCAAAGACATTATTGTAACTTTGGGCAAGTTTTTCCTTCAAATATCTTAGACAGCCAGAAATAAAAATGAAGCATGATGTGTTTCATCTGTCTGCTGTTCCCCTTCATGGTCAGATGTGGCATTGCAAGATTTTGCCCTCAGTTAAGCTCCTACCAAACTTTATTCATTGTGTAGAGTAGATGTCTCCCACAACTCAGCCTCAATCATGTTTTTTCTTGTCTCTGCCAGAGTCCCAGTTGCATTGTTTGTGAATTTCAGAGTGAGGTCATCTTCCAACTTCCCTGCTCACCTAGAAGTCAGTTGCCAAGGACTGTCTGGATGGCTTTTGAGTATCTCCAAGGTGTGAAACTCCACAATCTCACTGGGCAACCTGTGCCAGTGCTCAGTCACTGGAAATGGTTTCCAGATTTAGTTGTTCCATCACCTTCCCAGGGATCAAGGAGAGGCTGACCAGTCTGTAGTTCCCTGGGATTTCCTTCTTGCCCTTTTTGAAGATAGGAGTGACATTTTCTTTCTTTCAGTCCTCAGACACCTCTCCTGATCACCATGATCTTTCGAAGATAATTGAGAGCAGCCTCGCAATGACATCAGCCATCAATGAGCTGAAGGCAGGCTTTAAAGAAGACAGAGCTAGGCTCTTTTCCATGGTGCTCAGTGACAGGACAAGAGGCAATGGGCAAAAACTGAAATACAGGAGGCTCTGTCTGAACATCAGGAAACACTTTTTTACTGTGAGGGTGACTGAGCACTGGCACAGGTTGCCCAGAGATGTTGTAGAATCTCCCTTCTTGAAGATATTCAAAAGCTATCTAGACATGGTCCTGGACAACCAGCTGTAGGTGACCCTGCTTGAGCAAGGGAGTTGGACAAAGTGACCTCCAAAGGTACCTTCCAACTGCAATCATTATGTGATTCTGTGGTTAAGCAGCAAAGACATTATTGTAACTTTGGGCAAGTTTTTCCTTCAAATATCTTAGACAGCCAGAAATAAAAATGAAGCATGATGTGTTTCATCTGTCTGCTGTTCCCCTTCATGGTCAGATGTGGCATTGCAAGATTTTGCCCTCAGTTAAGCTCCTACCAAACTTTATTCATTGTGTAGAGTAGATGTCTCCCACAACTCAGCCTCAATCATGTTTTTTCTTGTCTCTGCCAGAGTCCCAGTTGCATTGTTTGTGAATTTCAGAGTTCCCCAAAAAATATAGTCTCTCTCAGTGTCTTTTCTCATTTTCACATAGGGACAATGTTTGTAGAAATGTTTGAAGAAAAAGTTTCTTTTTAATCATATACTTGTAAGATACAACGGCATCCCATGAAAGAAATTTCCTCATAAGAAAAATAAACAAAATTCATATATCCTCTGTCCTTCCTGAATATGCCTTCAGGACCACCATTATTCCTTAAGTAGAGCACTGGCCATCAGGAGTAGTTCTCAGTGTTTAAGACCTCGTTCTCAGGGCCTGTAAAAGCTAACTTCCTCAATGAGGTGTTTCTTTTTCACAGAAGAGTCTCCTAATAAATCACTGCAAATAACTTCCTTTCAAAAGAATTTGACTCCTCTGCATCTGTGACCAATAACTCAATTACTCCACCTATAAATGGATGCATAAGAACTAACATGATTCCAAGGCTTTCACTGATCTTTCCTCTGCTATACCACAGCAATATAAA